TCAAAGTTTCTCGCGCAAGAATGGGGAGGCCTGGGGGGGCTCATATGTATCCCCACTACTCTGATGATAGTAGTGTCACCTCTAAATCAACACAGCATAATGGAAGACATATCGCAGTCTAAAACGGGAAAAAATGTTGATATATGTGTCTTGCAGATGCGTATATGACCAAATAGCAAATGATTGCGGTGCCCTGAGCCCTAAGGTATTCAGGACCAATAAACACATGGGGGTGGTAGCCGCTGTAATGGCAAATGGGAGCTGTCAGAATGACATGTTCGGATATTGACACGGATTGTGTCGGAGAGACATAAAATCACAACTGCTGGAGCCACTCCAGTATTGCATGAGCACTTCAGCTCGTATGTTTTCACCAAAACTGTTCTTTGCGAGCTTCATAGAACACTCATGGCCAGGCTGCTATTCTCAAATCCCTAATCACCAGTACCAATGCCAAGCTTCGGCAGTGCCACAGCACTTTAGACAATATAAAATTGGGACGTTCTCTGATGAGTTCACATTCCCTGGCACTTGTGTGCAGGAAACCTTTGCAGGAGGTGTGTGCGAATATTGGTTCAAATCGAATAGTACAATGTTTGCCATAACCTTCGCGCTGCAAAGGGAAGCCGATGCAACCGGCTCTTTTTGCGCTGTTGATGCTAGAAACGACAGTGCACTATTTGATTCGAACCAATATTTGCACACCACTACTTCACAGGCTTACGAACTGCACTGTTTTGTCCCAAATTAAACAACATCATATGGGGAGCTTTCCACTGTTCTGGATGAATGGCTCCCATTCCCTCTGGCCAGTGCACATAATTTTCATGTGTCCTTCCCAAAAGACAGTGATGCAATATTCGTCACCAACACCAATGACAGATATTATCTACAATTATGAACTGGGACCCTGTGAACTTATTTTATGTATCATGACCACGCAACAGATATTCCTTCCTTGTTAATTCCGGAGTATACTGGTTGTTGTGTCGATTGGAGTTGGAGGTGCGTTGGGAGAACGAAGGCCTATAGTTTTTTTTTGTTGTTTTTTTTAACTCTGGAGCATTTAGAATGAATCTACAGCAGTTCACTTCAATTTGGCTTCCATGTCTAGCCCATCCGACATGGACTGCCAAATAGGGATTCTGCTATGTGATAGCTGGAGTGGACGTAACAGAAAAGCAGAGTATGATTACATGCCTAGAGAAATGGAAACAAGTGTAGAATTTGCCAACAGAGTGATAGGCTTTGCTTCTTACATCCAATCTCTGTCATTGTTCCAGGCACTACAGATTTGCAGCCTACAGGCAGTGTGCCCTGTGGCTGTGGAGCCGCTTGGGAAAGAAGAATAGGTGGCCCCTGCCATCCTGTGTGGTCAAGACAATCAGGGACAGGTACCCTGTTGACGTGTATGCGGGCTACAGGGATGCAGAATAAATTGTGTTGACCTAGAGACCACGCAACCCCCTTCCCTTGTCTCTTCACCCTCCCTGCATGTGTGTGAAGTCACTCGTAGCCATGAACGGAATCCTCTAAATCACGTTACCTATTATCTACGATATCATGTGACCATAACTATGATCACATGATCGTAGTCAAACCAAAGCCAGTGCACCTACGTCGCATTCAGTCACACGACGGAAGCCACTTCGGTGGCTCCGAGGCGAGAGTGCCGGCCTACGGATCCCCATGTGGCGGGTTCGAATCCCGGCCGAGGTGCCTGCAATCTGATGGAGGTTTATTGCGGAGAAGGCACCTTGGTAATCGAGCTTTCGGTTGCACGTCAAAAGATCCCCAGGTGGTCGAAATTAATCCTCGGTCCTCCGCTGGGGCGTGCCAGATGCCCGTCGTTGGTTTGGCACGTAAAACCCCCAAATTTGATTTGAGTCTCACGCCCGGATTGCTTCATTTTTCTTCTAGAATCCAAAGGCTGTCATCAAAACTACTAGGGCGTGAGAAGTGCTCATTTGGAACACTAACCTAAGCAGTAGAATTTGGCACCCACTAATATCATTTTAAAGTAAAGATAGAAAAAGCACCGATGTCATGTTCGCGCTAACAGTGTTGCGCAGTGTACTTCTACTTTCTTCTGGATCTGTTCTTTCAAATGGGCAAACTGCATATAACCTGGAAAAATCTGACTGCATGAAGCTACAAGATGCTCCCCTACATCAGCCGTCTGAGCGTGCCGGTGCGATGAGGCGAAGAAAGGCGAATTGCGATTGCTGCAGTTTTCAGAGGGACGTGGTCGATTGTTCCGAGGGTTTGGATGACGACGTGGCTAACATGACAAACAAATGACGTTCTGCTTGGGTGACTATAGTCGGTGACAGGTCAAGAACGAAGCGGAAGCTCCTCCCACACCTTTCCACTTCAGTGCAGCGATCGACGGAGAGGAGGTCCCCTCCTCTCCAGCATTCGCTCTACTAAAGTGGAAAGAGGTGGGAGGAGCTTCCACTTCGTTCTTGACCTGTCACCGACTATAGGCATGCTGTAAATTGTTTTACTTTTTTTATTTAGAATTCATTGCCAACCTACACTTGATTACTGTACTCTCAACATGTGCTCTAGTATAGACTTTTCCAGTCCAAGCCTTCTGCGAAATCCTTTTTTTACTTGGCTGTGGAATGCTTTTTGAGCATGCACAATAGATCCCCTGCATGGAATATGCTATGCCTCCACAGCCCAGTTACCCTGGATTTTTCCTCCCGGTGATAAATAGGATCTGCTTATATATTTCAGTGAATACTACGATTGTTAGTTTATATTGTCGTTATAATTGGCAAGTATACCCTCACATCATGCAAATACTTTGAGGAAATTGCACAATTTCGGTCGGGCTTTTAGTTAGGCATAGTGCAGTATTCTAGTTACATCGACCCATGTATTGACCTCACAATGCAGAAATCATCCAGGGGATCACAAAATTGGTACTACCATCGGCATCACTTGTTTTCAATTATGAAATTATTTCCTTTTGGTCATGCAAATTTCTACACCTTCCAGGTTCTGGTACCGAGAAGTCAAGTTGTTGGAAAATTAATGCAGTTTATTTCAAGCGTAAGGTTAGCGAATGTGCCTTACTTATTTGCAAGCAGGTCAATAATGACAGAAGACAAATGTTACAGACGGGGGGAAAACCGTGGTGTAGACTGGAAAATGCAGCACTGTTTTTAAATCGCCATAAAAAACTTCTGTTAATATTTCCAGTGTTATATGCAACCACCCCACTTATGTTATTGCTGCATTACCAGCCTACCTCCTGGATGAAAACCCCATTTATTGGAAACACGGGCGGGCTGCCCCGCCACGGTGCAGTCTCCACAGCATGTCCGCTCATCAGCGCATGAAAAGAAAGATGGATAAGGCATTGTGTTGCAGTCTTCGGAAAAGTGTCGGTTGGGTTCCAAAAATGCTTCAATTTTCTAAAACTGCTGCGATGGGCTAAGCTAGTGAACTGGGGATGGGATCTCTGGTGCAGAACTACATGCTATTCAAAATAGCACTTGATCCGCCTTCATTGTGGTGTGCCCACAATGAATGTGACAATACGGTCACCGATTTCCTCGATCTTGAAAGCTTGCACAAATTATAGCTAGGATCCTGCGTTCTTGAATTTAATTTTTTAGCAAAATTAGAGGGTGTTTTCTTTTTTTTTTTTGGAACCATCAATTCGGAGCTTCCATTTATGTACGCAAAGTTCGGAGTCTTTCGGCATTTTCGATGAGGCAAATGAAAGGTAGAAAACAGCAGTTTGTGAATTTAGTAAAGCAGTATTTTCATATGAGAGCCGTATTCATCTACTTTCGTAGAGGGCCTACCTCATTTTTATTAAAAGGGGCTACACGGCAATGGAAGTTGACACTGCAATAAGAGGAGAATTGCAAAAATTGTTCGAAGATTCCGGGAAATATAAAGACTGGTGGAGCTCATAACAGCTGGCAGACCGAAAAATTTAGTTTTTCAAATGAATCTGAATCAGCAAAATTTTAACGGTTAGTGTTTTTTGGAGTTTATCAAGTTTATCTGTGAACGCAGAACCCTAATTACAACTAATGGACTGGGAAGAATTATAGCACTGGCCTGTCCTCATCTCCTAATACCTCTACTGTTGGCACTGATGTGCGAACAATAGAGGTGCACCATGCTGGGCTTGAAAAATCCGGCTTGAGAGGGCAGGTGCCAATGCTTGCATCTCTCCATTACTCTTCATCGTGGCCCTAAAATCAAGCATTATCAATAGAGGAGATCTGCATTTCTTTGACAAATGATTGCAGACCGAGCTAATGTCCTCCTTACTGTCGGTCAGGGTGTCCTAACGGAAAATGGTGATCCATTTTGGAGCTCGGCTGTTTTCTCTTGGGTCTGTCTGCTTGCATTCGTCGTACGGCCTGCAAAACAAAGCGGTTGCCTACCATGGTAGTTTTCATTAGGACGAGGCTTCTTTGTGCTTACCACTGGCAGCATGAAAGATCCAACCAGGTCTTTGCTGCCTGCTGCTGTCCGCCTCGTTGACAGACTTTCCAAACTACAGTGAAAATTCAGACTGTTGCATAATTACATTCCTAGAGATTCCAAGTTGGGCTAGATGGGCGTTCACACTGAAGTTAGTGTCGTCCTCACCGCAAGTTGAGCTGTAGCCTTGAATCTCGCTGTTTTGTGACTTTTCTGTGACTCCGCAATTTCCACCGGCTAAAGTTACTTGCCCTCTTTTGAGATAGGCACGCCATGACCAGCTTGATTAGGCCCTAAAATGGAACATTCTCATGTGGAGAGATCTGTATTTCTGTGAAAAATGATTGCGGACAGAGCTAATGTCCTCCTTACTGTCGGTCAGGGTGTCCTAACGTAAAATGGTGATCCATTTTGCAGCTCGGCTGTTTTCTCTTGGGTCTGTCTGCTTGCATTCGCCGTACGTCCTGCAAAACAAAGCGGTTGCCTACCATGGTAGTTTTCATTAGGACGAGGCTCCTGTGTGCTTACCACTGGCAGCATGAAAGATCCAACCAGGTCTTTGCTGCCTGCTGCTGTCCACCTCGTTGACAGACTTTCCAACCTACAGTGAAAATTCAGACTGTTGCATAATTACATTCCTAGACATTCCAAGTTGGGCTAGATGGGCGTTCACACTGAAGTTAGTGTCGTCCTCACCGCAAGTTGAGCTGTAGCCTTGAATCTCGCTGTTTTGTGACTTTTCTGTGACTCCGACATTGCCACCGCCTAAAGTTCCTTGCCTTCTTTTGAGATAGGCATGCCATGACCAGCTTGATTAGGCCCTAAAATGGAACATTCTCATGAGGAGAGATCTGTATTTCTGTGAAAAATGATTGCGGACAGAGCTAATGTCCTCCTTACTGTCGGTCAGGGTGTCCTAACGGAAAATGGTGATCCATTTTGCAGCTCGGCTGTTTTCTCTTGGGTCTGTCTGCTTGCATTCGCCGTACGTCCTGCAAAACAAAGCGGTTGCCTACCATGGTAGTTTTCATTAGGACGAGGCTCCTGTGTGCTTACCACTGGCAGCATGAAAGATCCAACCAGGTCTTTGCTGCCTGCTGCTGTCACCCTCGTTGACAGACTTTCCAACCTACAGTGAAAATTCAGACTGTTGCATAATTACATTCCTAGACATTCCAAGTTGGGCTAGATGGGCGTTCACACTGAAGTTAGTGTCGTCCTCACCACAAGTTGAGCTGTAGCCTTGAATCTCGCTGTTTTGTGACTTTTCTGTGACTCCGACATTGCCACCGGCTAAAGTTACTTGCCTTCTTTTGAGATAGGCATGCATGACCAGCTTCATTAGGTCCTAAAATGGAACATTCTCATGAGGAGAGATCTGCATTTCTGTGAAAAATGATTGCGGACAGAGGTAATGTCCTCCTTACTGTCGGTCAGGGTGTCCTAACGGAAAATGGTGATCCATTTTGCAGCTCGGCTGTTTTCTCTTGGGTCTGTCTGCTTGCATTCGCCGTACGTCCTGCAAAACAAAGCGGTTGCTTACCATGCAAGGCTGTATTAGGACCAGGGTGTAAGATAGACAGGTGGGGAAACGAGAGCCAAATGAGCGACCGGATTGTGTACCCCTCGGTTTTCTCTTTTTCTGTGGCGCCATCGATGTGGAGCACCGCAAACTCTCACTCCAGGTGGGCGACGGGTGGCGACTGGCTAAACTGCCGGAGATGGTTTCTCGTGGATTTTCAATAAAGACTGTCGTGCTCTCTCTTTATTTTGCGCACTCTCCCATAAAGTTCCATGCAAATCCGATTCCGATTTTTTTCCTCTCGCCGCAGCGCCATCTGTTGCAAGTCGGGGGTACCCGCAAGCAGACGAGTACACAATCCGGTCACGGCGCTGCGGTAGGCTTCTATGGGCCGTTTCCCCACCTGCTTAGCTTACACCCTGATTAGGACCAAGGTCCTGTGTGCTTACCTGCGGCAGCATGGAAGTCCCGACCAGGGATTTGATGTTGTTACTGGGGGCTCTGGCCGAACCTGGACATTCGTGCTGCCACGAGTTCCTCTTTTGGAGGCCTTGTGTAGGCCGCAGTCATCGGTGCCGGGAAGACGACGGTGTTGGCCTTCGATGCAGCAGCCAGGGACCGCCACTGTTTGCTGCTCTCCATTGCCTCCTTGATGAGCTTTCCAACATACTCTAGAATTTTAAACCTTTGCATGATAACATTCCTAGGCTCTCTGGACAAGGCATTCACACTGCAGTTAGTGTTATACTCACTGTAAGTGGGATCCGTAATCTCTGGTCGTGCTGTGTGGTGGCCCTTTCGTGCTTTTGATGTTACGACCGACCAACGTGGCTTGCCCTCTCGTGTGACGGCTTGGCAGCGGTTTGAGTTTTCGTTGAAATGGAGGATTGCAAGTCGAGTCCTGCAAGATGGTTACATTTCAGTGATGGTAAAGTGTGCCACTTACAAAGAGTGGTTATTCTGGCATCAATCCAATTCCATTATCTGATCATTAGGAAGAGACTGTCAGGTTTGTCGCATTGTAACCAATGGACTGGATGAAAGTGTCCAAACGAAGGAAATGTGATTGTAAATTGGTTGACTTACTTTGCAAGCATGCCTTCTGGGCTGAAAGCCTGGGACTTCGGGGCGAAGTCTATCAGGACGCGGTGGAACGCCTCCAAAGCATATGTCTGGCCATGTGGAGACATCTGTGCAAGGTCCTTCAGGAGCAGTTTGTTGCCAGTGATGCTCTTGAATTGGTTGTAGGCCTGCGAGTCTGAGGATGATACATGTTTTAGAAAAACCACCTTCATTTGGAAGAACAAAAACATACTGGGATCCATCCATGGTCGTGTTGCCTCTGGTACGTCACCATGGAGGCACCTTCCATATGTTCCTTCGTGCCCCGAGTGTTTGTTGATGACATGGTTGTGCATGCTGAGCCAGATGTCGATGAGCAGTTTCTTTTCGCCTCCTGCAGCCCTCGCTGACCAGTACATATGGTTTGTAGTTGTCTGGATCCAGATTTGCAGGTCTTGGCATCCAGCCCGTTTGCTTGCTGCTGTCAGCTTCTTTTTCACACCTAAAATTCAGAGTCGTGTCAGGGAAACCTGCAGCGTGATCGCTGGAAAATAAAAGCTACACGTATGGCCTGTTAGGATTGCTTACTTTTGGAGATGTGCCATATGTCAAAGAAGTGGTCAATCCCGGGTTCGTGCGTCTTCATGTGCTTTCGTGTGGCAGGGTGAGGGTCAGTCACCAACGTTCGGATCTTGATACTTGCACCATTAGGTTTCGGAAGATAGCAAAAGAATAAGTGATTATGCCAATTTGAACAGAGTGCCTGAAAGGCCGCCGAGTAGTGATATACACGAACTATGCATGAACATACCTTTCTCCTTGAAGAATTGCAGCTGCTTGAGGAGGCCCTCCTTCTTCATGTTGACACTGGCCATGGCCTGTTCAGACTAAAAAAAAGTGTGAAATGAATATTTTACCAAAATAGTGCATAGCAGGGAAGTAACTGATGACATAACACAAGAGAAAGATTATGAGGTTGTTGCAACTGGTTCACGTAAATCTGACTACTTGCCTCTTTTAGCTGGACCTGGACAGAGTGTAGAATCTTGTTGATTTGCTCGACATGGACTGTGTACGTCAGGTACTTGGCACAGAACCCAGGGAGTCAAATCTCCCGTCAGCAGAGATGTCCACCTCTTTGTTCTGCAACTCGTTGAGAAGTTCCTGTTGCTCTTGCAGTCAGACCTGTTCATGCAGATAAATATTGCTTTAGAAAGGCATGGAGCATACTACAATAGTCCCATCTGTTTATGTATGCATAGTGTAGTGTTGTCGAATGAATGACTGAGTGAAAGAAAAAAGAAAGCACAATGCAGCGAGTTTGAATGTGACTTAGATTGTGCTAGGTTGTGATTTGTGTTTTTATGTTTGTGTATTTCATAAAAGAGGCAGCAGGCCGCCCGTTACCTCGACGCTGCCCTACCCTTTTCCATTCTAACAACCACCCTCTGTCTCTTGACTCTCACAAGGAACCTGACTCACTCAACCCAATGCCAAACAGGGAACTACCCCAGGATACTACACATGGCAGAAATAAATTAAAGTATTGTGGATTTAGTAGCCCATGGCACATATGTAACTTGATGTATAAAATTTTATCTCTTAGCACTATACCATTGAAGTGGCATACTACAAGAAGATATTTATTCATTTAACCGAAGTGTGACTGGGGCTCCAGTTTTGTACCTCATTCGAAAATTGGGTATATGGGAAAAAAATGCAGCAGCAGTGTTCCGGAATATTGCTCACCTTGTGGATTGCAGGTAGAGCGAAGGCCTTCCGATGCTCGTAGAAGCTCGAGTTGGAGATTACCTGCACGTTCATATGGCGCAGCATCCGCAGCGTAGGGGCAATCTTCACCCCAGAGAAGACCAGGTGGCTGGTCAGCAGTATGTTCCCTGCTGGTCTGCCGTTGACGATGGGCTGGCTTTTCCATGTGCGCACGTGCTCCACAGGGCAGATGCTGTAGACTGTGATCAGTGTGCCGGTAGTTTCGATCGTTGTTTGGCACAGTCTTGAGCACTCTTGGCACGTTTTGAAAAGCTCCCTTAGGCAGCTCTCGAACACCAGAAACTGGCGCTCTTCTTCTGGTGGTGGTGGTGGAGCTGATGCACCATGCTCGATTCTGAAATGGGATCATGTGAAGCATTCTTTACAGATTCTATGTGTTTATATGCACAACTTACCTCGTAATCCTCGCTGTGAGACGGAGAGTAGGTTCCGTCAGAGTCTGGCATGTTGCTGGGAACAGGAGATGTGCATTCATATGGCACCCCACTGCTACAAGTGGAGAAGGCAAACTCAGGTGGATGCGACTGTGCAGGCACGTCTGCGACAGGGACAGGTGGCACCACTGCAGGGATGTTTGTCTCAGCAGTACAGTCCCTGAGGGTCATTTCTGCCTCGTAGTGTGCAGGCAGTCCAGTTTCCGAGGCCTGGGTCTGCAAAGGGCACTGTTTATTACACATTTCATATTTTTAAGGTTGAAGGGTGCAACTCGAGCACTCCACACAATGCCGTCACCGCGGCAAACATCCATGATGCCTTGTTTTTTAGCTGATGGCAAACATCCATGAATTGTTTTGTAGCCTTTCCATAGCTTAGAATTTCATGCACTCAACCAAAGCTCTCACTGTAATACAAATCTAAGGGATGCCTCACTCTTTATATTTGTTTTTATAACTTACATTACCATCTATATTTTCAGTCTCTAGCTCAGCAACAATAAATGTCCATGTCGCGATATGATGTCACATTACATACATATGTAAAGCTGCAGATTCACATGTATTTACCAACCACTGAAGGAAATGCAACCAGCGAGCACTTATAGCCGCAAGTGGGAAACATACAGCAACTGCCATGAGTTCTCAACGTCCAGAAGTGCCACCAAGCAACAAAATCATGGCGTGCATTTGCTATGTGCATACAAATTTGCAAACGCGGGTTTGCACGCAATCGTGGGTGCAGGATTGTGAGAAGAAAAAAAACTGAGTTTGCTCACAAGAGTAGATATAAAAGAAAACCTGCTTGTTAGTAGTCACGGACGCTTGGAACTTTTCTAAGCTGATACGAAAGGGTTCCTCTCTGTAAACAAGCTGGGAAAACATTTATTGACTTCGGGTGGGTCAATAGCAGAGGGGGGTGGTGATGGAGGTACCATTACAGGCGATTTATGACTGTGTCCTCTTATCTCATTTGTTCGTGTTTTCTTTTTACAAATGAGTTCGATCCTGGTGGTGCATGCACTGATAGGGTTCTTCGTTTTCGGGTAAAACCCGATAATACCTAATTTTTCTCCCCCGAATAGTTCTGATGAAAATCGGGTTAAACCCGATTTCTCCCCGAAAAGCAGTGTTGAAATCACCTGACTTGATAGAAAATATGAACCATTCTGGATCTGTTTAAACGGTGTTTCCTTGGTCATCCGTTGATGGTTACAATTTTCTTCGATTTGCGTGACCTCCGCAAAGATTCAGTTCAGAGCCGATCAGAAGGTAGAAACATATCCTATGCCTATATAATATATTTTGTTTACTTTTATTCATGTAATTAACACATTGCACGTACTTGTAATTGATAAAGAAATCCCGAAAAAAAATCCGAATTTCGGAATGGTTTCTGGAAAAACTCGATTTCTTCCCGATTATCGCCCGAAAAATAGCGCCCGATTTTCACCCCCCGATTTTTGAAAAATATAAAACCCGAAAATGAAGAACCCCATGCACCGCACCATTCGCGCGATAAGCTCTCGAACCGCTAGTCCGGAACATTAGGCACCACTGATCGACTTGACGAATGCCATGTGGATTCCCATGTTACACAAATGCGTCCTCAGTTCTTAGTTCAGAATATAGATACCAGAAGCAGCCGCA